ATGCGTACGCAAAGCAGCTACGAGATCTAAAGCGTACCGTCGATCAGAGGGAAAAATTTGTCCGCACAGCCCGCCCTCATCATGATAGTGCAGCGCACTCCGTCCAAAAAAGTTCGAGCCGTACCTCATGCAATAGAGCTGGATGGCTCTCCCCTTGCACTGGTGTAGCCCAGACATTGCTCCTTCTAACTGCGAGTTGCCTCCCGTACTCAACCGTTATATGGACGAGAAAACCTCCACAACCCGAGCCAAGTCAAATTGAGATGATGTCCAACTTTGCGTCGTGCCTCCCTGCATTGTGAAGCGATGGCATCCATGAGGTGCTCAAAAACTGGCAAGGACCCCGCAGTAACATTGCTGTACAATTTTGATCTTACACGCCTCTCTATAAAAGAAAGCCTAATTTGAAAAATGTGACAGAAGTTTCCGCCAACCTCATATAGCAGCTCCCTATTACATTTCCAAATAGACTAATAGTTTATATGTCAGCAGTAAACTATGTGTAACAATGTTGTGTATATGTGTATGTAAACGACACAGCCCATGCTATTCCTGAGAGTCTTCGAAATTCCGACAAGTATTGGGCCTGTGTTTGGACAGCCGACAAAAAAAGAATAGGAGGAGACGGCGAGGCAAGAAGAAGGAATGTAATCAATTTAATTTTTAGTTGATTCACTCGAAGTACATATTTCGTACATATTTCTGTGTGAGAGCTGCGACATCTATTATAGTTCATTTCCAAAATTATTTATTCTATTAGGCAAGGAGTTATTCTGGACCTCTCTATCTATCTATAAGGCGTGAGGCCGGCATTGGCGGGGTGGTTTGTAGTGACAAGGTGCGCGCGTCGGCACCACTCGGCGACCGCGGGCGTCGGGGGGCGTTCGAATCCCGGTGGCCGTACACACCGGGCGCCGGAGGGGGCGCAACCCAAGTACTCTCCATCTACCATCCGCGGAACGAAATTCGAGTACCACATTCGTCGGGTGGGGGGGGGAGGAGTAAGAACACGGGGGACTTGGGTAGCGATCGGGGCTGGCCCCGGCAAGTCATGTATAGGCCACATGCAGTTGCAGGGATGAGCCACTGCCGATTTCTGAAGTGTAAGGGTAGATATGCGGTGCGCGCAGTGCGCACAAAGCGGAGTTTGGGGATCAAGCGGCAGGGAAGACGTTTATCCTTTTTTTATCCTTTATTAGGGCGGAAGAGGTTATATTAACCTCTCGTCTAAGTGGCTCTCACTCGTCTGCTTCTCTCTCTCTCTTCGTAGCGTCGTCGTGCCTGTCATTTATCTCTCCGGTGTGGGGTCGGACCGCTAGCTGGTGAGCTCGTCTCCCCCAGGGTCGATTTCAGGAATAGATGAATATGGTGCTATACGTGTAGATAGTCAGAGCAGTAATGCTGATGACTCTTGGTGGAGCAGGAGAAGCGAGTGAGGAACTGAAGCGGAACAGTTTTAGATTAATTACATCGTCAATTTTGGGAGGGGAGGGGGTTTGCTTGTAAAATTTGCCGTAGGTGCAGCGAGCAGGTGCCTACTTTTTTTTTTTTGTATTTTTTTAAGGATAATCTAACGCGCCCGATTTTAATGATATATAAAAAATTAAGGCAAAATTTGGCCGAGTTCAGGAAAGGGAAAACAGTGTTTCACCTGCCCAGATACCTCACCTGAGTCGCAGTGACGCTGGTGGAGGCAGGGCAGATCAGCATTCCGAAACACACAACGGAGAGGGTCGTAATTAGCCGCTGAGGATGGGAGATCGCAACTGGCCTTCGGAGATCCTTTCTATAGTCCCGCATCACCCAGGCAGAATCTATCATTACGGAGAAGGGGGGGGGCCGAGAAAAGTTTCTGGAGTTAAGCGCAACAGATATTCAGGTGATCTTTTCGCCTCCTATAGCGCTTATATGACAGTCGTTCCTCGCTGACGGATTGAGGGCATTTCAGGAAGGCTGGGTCTGCGCGCGTAGCCTACCTCCTTTCCCCTAAATTTTGCGGTCCCTTGCCAGACCTTTATAGCTGGTGGAAGAAGGAGAGGCGCTTCTCGACCGACGTACCTAGTTTCCTCACCTCCTAGACGTTTCAGCGTCTGTGGAAAGGGCCATACTTTTCCTAGTTGGCTGCGTCGCAAAATCACTATACAATGGCTGTTTCTCATAATTGACTGTGGTGGTTGTCTGAATGTCTGGACAGCCCCTACTCCCCTTCCCCCAACCATTTTCCCCTCCCGCTTGGCTGACACTGGTTTTTCAAGAAAAAATGGGAAATTCTCTGGGTAATAGGTAGGAAGTCGGCAAATTTTGGTAAGGTGGTAGGTGTAGAATGGTGGGAAATGGGGGTGGCACCAAAAGAGGAAATTCGCGAAAGGGGGAGGGGGTAGAGCGTATTTAAACAAAATTTTACACGACACGATGTTGCGCCTTGGGTGGATGCGTCCCTTGAAGTATCACATATTTTTATCATACAGTCTTTTTTGCTGCGAATTCAGGAGCGTTCGGACAGGCTAGACTTGGTGGGGCGCACTTAATTCCACCAATGGTTGAGATGGTGAAGCATGAAGAACGGGTTCGTGCCAAACCCAGCCCCTCCCCCTCCCTTACACGCTCCAGCATCATCGAACAAGACGTTATACTCTAAAAATGTAGCCACCTAAGGACGTGCCGAAATAGCATCTGGATTTTTTTCGCCGACGTGATGACGCAAGTCGTCGAATAAGTCCTCGTGAGCGTCGCGACTAATATATCCCTTGGGAATGCCATCACGTCTCGTCTCGTAAATTGACTACCCTTGCGCAAAGCCTTCCAGCAGACCTCTTACCTTTAATCGTTCATGTCCAGCATTTTTCGTGCCATGCATCATCATCGAACGAATTTCCGGGTTTTTGAAAAAGGAATTCCTGCAACTGGAAATTACATGGGAGATTTCACTGAGAAGATTACCAGTGGGAACGTACCTGAATATGCTAATTGCCGGCTCGAGGGCACCCTGGTTTCGTGCATGGGCCCATGTCTTCCGGATGAGCAGTATTTGAGCGGCGGTGAGGCAGAGAGACGATGAGACCACAGGAGCAGGACTTATGGCTGGAACTCCTTTATGAATCAGAGTTAGCCTACAACTTTTTTGGCGCTGTTCATTTTAGGGGAACATTTTACCACTTACAGAGAACTATAAATTCCTTTGAAGCCACAAAATGGCACTTATGGTTAGTGAAACATGCACAGCTCACACTTGGAAGAAAAGCCGTGAAATATGATTAGTCGTTATGTGTTGCCTGTTATTAATACGACAGGGAGGTCCTCAACAAGGCAGGCAACTGAAAGGACATCCTCCCCTGCCGCAAGCTGATAGCTTCAATTCCTCTATCGAATTCGAGGCCATAAGCAGAGGTAATCGAACTGACCATGGGCACTGCTGGACGTGGGCCGATCCTTGGAGAGTTGTGCCCTCAACGGCGACACCCCGTTCTTCGAACTTTTTGTCGACGCACTTTTCACCGCTGAAAAGCTGGGTGGGTTAGGTCGAATGGAGGGTTGAGCTGAAAAACAATTAGATGTTATGGAAAGTGCAAGTTAAAGAAGAAAAAGGGTGCAGAAAGTTGGCGAAAGAGTAAAGGTAAATGCTTTTATGGTTAGCGTGGATTAGTGTAAAATTTAACTTTCGCACGATTACGCCATGGGTATTCGCATCGATTGTTTCGGCGCATCGAAAAACGCAAATGTGATATTTTGGGGTTTTCCTACCTCCGAGGAGACTTAAGGACAAATTCAAGGGCTTTCATAGTGTCACTAGTGTCGTTTGGGTTATGGGTTATATCGCGCGCTCTGGCAGTTTCCATGAAAGAATGCTATCCTTGATCCCTGTTTTTCTTGCGCGAGCGACGTGCACCTTGATTTTTCCCAGGGTTTTTCTCGCACCCATAATTCGGCGTTCGTTGTGTGGGTAAGGGGGAGGTTTCATTTGGCACTTTCGCTGAGTTTCCCGCTTGCAAGAGATCGAGTGGGAAATCGATGCAAAAGCCCCTACCAAAAGCGAACTTGCGACGGATAATCGCTTTACTTGTGAAGGTCGAAATAGAGAGGACTGTGTCCGATGACCGTATTGAAAATGGAGGATAAAGCGATCTACAAGCCAGTGTTGTCATCCTCCCCGACGAACCTGGTGCCTATTTACCGTCCAAGGAGGACAGAAAGCCTAGCTGGCCTAGGCGGGAGTTCGTCCAGGATTTGATCTTCATACAGTGAGCGAGGTGAGCGTGCCACTTGCCACAACCCTTAGTATACAGCATCACGATCTGAGAAACTGCGGTGTCACTGCATCCCCCTCCCCTCCCTCCCCGAAACTTACTCTAATACGACCCTTCGCTATTCTACCTACCCTCTTTCGAAGTTTCCTAACTTAAAGACACATACGGCTCCCAATCCAGCAACCGTTCAGAACCCCTCCTTGATAGGTTCTCCAAACGACTACCCCACTTCCGCCTCATGCGGAAGGACTCCTGATGGGATATTCGGCTTGATGAAATTCCACCGTTGAATTTCCCATATACGGTCCAGTCGTTGGCGTCGCAAATGTGGTAGCTGGTCGGGTGTGTACCCTTTCTCAATTCCCTGCTGGGAGATATGAAGCCGTATTTCGAGCCATTCATTCGAAAATAGTGCCCAGAATCAAGCTGTGCCCAGCTGCGGGAACCCATCACGAGGAGTCTAAAAAGCGGAGAGACGTTGAAAACGTCACAGACGAGTTCAAAAAAATCCAAGTCATGGGAGGAAATGTGGCAGCGGCGTCTAAAGGACAGCGGGCCTCGCAATGAGCATAAACTCGAGGCTAAGGATACGGTAAAGCGAGAAGGTGCAAAAGAGCAAAGGAGTGTCAGAAAACTTACCTTTGTCCGTTTTGTCCGCCAATTGTACAGTAGATGAAGATTTCTGTGAAAGGGGTGAACCCGTCGATTCTTTCTGCACTTTCTCGTCACTCTGCATTCCTGAGCTGTGAGTTCGACAAACAGAAAGTCTAAACAGTTTGGCCTTGTAGAGTGGAGACATTAGACGAAGGGGTTCAGGCTAAACTAACTGGCTTCTGGGCGTTGCAGCTTCTGCAAAGCTCGATGAACGGCTCCTCGTAGCTGATGAGACTCCAGCAGACGAATTTTCTTTGGACTCTTCTGAAAACGTCGTAGTTGACGTGAGACATCAAAGGACGTTCCAACGGAAATCGACTTAGTAATCTGATTTTCTTAACACGAAAATACACTTCGAATCAAATTTAAATCGGCTGCAATCGGCTGGCACAAGTAAGATCTGCTACTGAGTCTGTTGGAGAATTCAGAAGTTGAAATGTTGGCTGAATTTCTGGTAGAAGGCCACAAACTGACCCTCCCCTCCCTATTCAAGCACTTTGGAGGCAATTATGTTGGGCTGTTTAGTTGGTTGTGTGCCAAATTGCGATCATTCAATTCTATTAGGAAAGGTTATCGCCAGCTACCCTTGCAAGCGGATCAACATTCCCGGAAGGGGGGAGTTTGACCAGCTTTTCTAATCTGAGCGTACATGATCGTTGTATGGATCGTGGAGGGGTCGTTTTTGGTCGCTGAGGGGGGGGGTGGGGTATACTGTGTGTTGAGAGAGTTTTTTGACTGTTAATTTTCCCGTCTTGAGAGCAGCTTTCCTTGGGTGGGAGAAGGGTAATGTAGGGGTCTTTTGAAAAATGACCCTTTCTTGCACGGTTTGTGATTTGCGGTAAGGAAAAGATGGACCACAAAAGCTAATGGCGATCTGCCCTGTGATGGGTTCGGGAAGAAATTTCACGACATCATTCAGAACCTGAAGCGCACAAAAGGAAAATTGGCTCAGAGTCTGGGTCCACTATACCTTCCTGAATCCGGGTAAAATAGACACTGCGGAAAAGTGGTGTCAGCAAATCCCATCATCAAGCATTCTGGAAAGAAGAAGGAGGGGCAGTCCTCCTTGATAACAGCGTCAAACCACACGCCTCATTGGTCACATGACAAAAGCTGCAGGGGTTGACGTAAAGGACTCCCCATCTTTCATCACACTCCAGTGACTTTTACTTACTGGCTGGTAAATTCCATAAAGCTCACCGATGTCTCGCGATAGAAACGCGTCAGAACCAAGAAGATGAGAAAGCCGGGCGCTGTTCGGCTTGGGGGGGGGGAGGGGCGAGTTTGCACTTTCGCTAGTTTCGGCGCAGTTTGCCGACGGGGGGCATTTTGCACTTTCGTTAATTCAGTAGTTCTGGTTTACAGGTCTCATTCTGAACCTGTGAACTCTTGTGAATCTAGAGCAAGCTCGTCAAGCTATCATGGGAAGACCTGTCAACTCGGGAAGGGGCTGTCTAGATGGGTCGACACGTCGATGGGAAGTCGTTAAAGTGCAACCCCCGTGTCGCCAAACAGCTCCGCTGGTTTCTTTTACAAGCTCCAATTACAAGACTTACAATGATAAGACCTGTAGTAACTTGTAAGTGTATAAGCGAAGCTAGCGTGCTAATTGTGCAGCTTGCAAGCAGGGTTTTTACAGTCTACACAAAGAGGCAGCGCACTAGGAAACAAGCAAAATGGCCCCCCCGCCCCAGCCAAACAGCTTTCATGTTACATGGCTTCCTAGAGTTCTATGATACTGGAGATGGAATACAACGGCCAAAAGTCTGCTGACTATAACGGTGTCCTGGATTCAGTACTTTCGAGCTGAGTCACATGTGCCCACATGTGATATAGGAAAACGTGCCTTTCTTCTGCATCGAGAGAAAGCGGCCGAAGGAGAATAGGCGCAGTCCGGCTTGGTGAGGCACAATGGTAATCTACTTTCAGTTCAGATAACCAGTATCATACTTAGTTCAGCATGACCAAGCCTTCTTGTGAAGACTTAAACTCTCGTAACCAAAATGGCTCGCTTGTAGTTTTGCACATTCACAGGAGCTTCCTGCTATTACTTCTTATGAACCAGGAAGGAACTGGCGAAGTGCGAAATGCCCTTCCAAGACGAACGCCGAGAATGGAGAAGGAAGAAATGGGTGCTAATAACCTTGGGTAGGGGGAACACCTGTAAAGCTTGCCAACAAACCAGCTCATGTAAAGCGTACACATGTGAATGTCTCACAAACTTACAGGTTTGCCCTCCCCGTACCTCAAGGTTATTAGCGCCAAGAAAAAGAAATGTGGCGCCGGGGAATGATACAATTGGGACACGCCACACACTTAGCATGCTTTCGCAATCGTAGAAAATTGGATAAAACAGGTCTGCAGAAGGCAGAAGATGTTGACAACAAAGCAGACACATTCGCACGCAAACTGGGCAACAAATAATCAATTCGGAGCGGAATACCCCATGTTAAGGCTTCTTGCAATGAGAAAATAATTTACAATGCACAATTTCAGCGTTCCCTATCGGTTTCATTATCCCGCGGTTCTGTTTACTGTTAATCAGGTAGGGGAGCAGCGAACTATAATCAATAAGCTGATCTTAATCTGAAAATCTGGCCATGTTCAGGATGATTAAATTGGCGTTAGTAACCTTTGAAAGTGGGGGGAGGGGTGGGGGCACACTTGTAAGCGCTTGCCAGCACACTACTTGGTGTAATCTTCCCATGTGAGCACCGGACAAACATGTCACACCCTATAAGCCTTGTTATTACCTGTCAAGTAACCTTTAAACTCCTGTCAGAATGACTGGTGAAGATTTGGAAAAAAAGGAGAAAAGATATTCCAACGACTTGAGCATCATTTCGCTGAGCTTGACAGGAATTTTCAGGGTATTTGACAGGAATTTACAGGATTTGCAGGGTGAGACACGATTGACTTTGACGATTGAGTGGTGCAAAAAGAGAAAAGGAAAAACATGCAAAAAGAGAAATGCATCATATCGTTAACTCCGCCCCCCCCTCCTTAGAGGTTCTATGGTGACTAAATTAGAACAGTCCTTTCAGACCACACACGGAATTCGGGAACTTATTCTGCCAACGTAAAGAGAACTGCGTTCTTGTGTGGTTGTGAGCAAGATGGGGAACGGCCGAATTAGACGGGAGGCTCGTTCGATTCGTAATTCTTGAGTAGTGGTAGTAAAAGCTTTTTTGAGCACTGCACAACACGAGGCTCCCGGGACACAAGTTATGTGGTACTCACTTCAAGGAACGTGGTATTATTATACAGCGTAAAACTAGAATGTTATGGCTGTCACAGAAGAGTTCGGGAGGTGGTTATCTCAGGATTCCCAGGGCTAGCGAGGGTAGCTTGTGTCCGTGGGCAAAAAATCTTGAAGCGGAACAGTTCCATGGCACGATTCTGCCTGATGGGGGCAATCTAATGGCTTATGTCGATCACTGCCAATCAGAGCACGTCGTATGTGTTCCAGGGGAGTCGCATCTGGTTGCTAGAGGGAGGGGTCGTGTTTGCTTCTGAAGAAAATGTTTCCGTTGCTGACTTCTCTCGATTTTCCCATTTCTCGAGAGCTATATATTACCACTCCCTTTCCCCTCCCCTCTCGACGGCAGTTTTTTTTCTTGGAAAAAGTGGAGAATTTATGGAGAAAAAAAACTTCGGAAATGTGATAGTGTGGTGGAAGACTTTGAGAAAATGAGCAAGATAGTAGGTAGAGAAGGGTATGGGGAAGGGTGGTGGTACCAGAAAAGGAAATCCTGAATGCGTATACTTAGAAATTTTTCCTCAACGGCGCGACGTGTCCTGCTGGCGATGCCTCCTGTGGAGAACTTTTGACTCCTCTTGTAAAGCTATGCAATAGCAGGAGTTTAGTTTACATCACCAAGGTGAGACATGCAGTTCAACAGCAGAAGAATCTCGCGTGAGTACACAATTCCCTCCCCCCCCCTCGCCGATTAGCGCCCATCTCCTGAAGTCAGACCAGGATTCTGTAAGGAGTGGTGCGTCCTTGGTGGCCGAGAGTGTGGGAAATATATCGTTGTCAAAGATAATAGGTTTGGCGTAAACGACAGCTTCTGAAAATGTCAGAGCAGTAATAAAAGGGTGTGTCAAATAGGAATGCGGTCCCACATCGATTTGTAATTCCACGAAACCTTCATTTCTGTATCTGGGGATATATGAGGGACACTCTTGAAATAAATTTCTTCACTACTTGAAAAATTGTTTCATCCGACCAGCTCTCATTTGTCAAAGTGGGCCAAGTTTCAGTAACACAAACCGAAACTGCTCCCAGCAGAACATAGAAAATAGATGGATGGGCAAGCAAGGGGAGAAAGCTAACTCCCGTTTAGCACAGAACACTGAAACAGGCCATTCAGCTTGACAGATTCTCTTCTCAAACGATACGCCCCGATAACTTGGTTGGAGGCCTGAAGGGGCTTGGATGAGGTTGGAGGTGCGGAATGGCGCGCGCCAGAGGGAAACTGAAGTGTGAAGTCACAAACTAAATGAATGAGGCCCTGAAAGAGTTTGAGGGATAGGCGAGTTAGTTGTCATCATGCCGACCCGAGTGGACCCGAAAGAGAATAATAGCCGGTATCTGTGATCAAGACAGCAGCTCTTCTATGTTTGTGGCCGAGGCAATCAAAGTAAAAGAACAGGAAAATTTCATAAAGTTCTCTTCATTTTCTAGTCCTTTGGAGGTACTACGTTTCCCTCAGAAATCGACGCAGGTCGGCTTAGTGGGTGCAGCAAGTAGTATCCAGGAAAGCTTGCGCAGGCCACCTTGTGGAGACTTGTAAACTCCCGTAACCCAAGCGTTTTACTTGTACAAGCCCGCAGCTTCACAACAGTTCCCAGGTCTTACCAGAATGAGACTTTTTAGTCAACATGAAGCTGCAGAAGGAGCTAGTAAGGACGCAAAATGAATCCCTCAGGCCGAAAACGCTCAAAATTCTTTATGTGCCAGTGGTGTAAAGGAGTTTGGACGTGTTATGTAAGAAATTCCTGGTGATGGGAACTCTAGCATTTTGAACAAGAAGGCTCATGCATGGTGTGGGCATCAAACGATTTTTGCTTGATGTTCAGGCTCTCACCCGAAAGTCTATAACGTCTAAGAGAATACATAGGAACAGGAAAGAAAGCTCAGAAGCTAAAAAAGCAAAGAACAGGGCCATACTTTGCGGTTAGACCAAGGCTATAGTTGCCTAAAAGGAGTATATTTATAGCAAAGCCTCAGGATGCGTGGCGAAAGACAGCCGTCTGGGC